ATATTCAAGGTCACAGGGGTCAAATATGTTAAAAACTTTAAACAACTTCTTCTCAATAACCAAAATGCCCAGGGTGATAATATTTCGTCAGTAGCATGCTGAGATAAAGGGCTACAAAGTTTGTTCAAATGAATGACCTTCACCCATATTCAAGGTCACAGGGGTCAAATATGTTAAACACTTTAAACAACTTCTTCTCAATAACCAAAATGCCCAGGGTGATAATATTTCGTCAGTAGCATGCTGAGATAAAGGGCTACAAAGTTTGTTCAAATGAATGACCTTCACCCATATTCAAGGTCACAGGGGTCAAATATGTTAAAAACTTTAAACAACTTCTTCTCAATGACCAAAATGCCCAGGGTGATGATATTTGGCCAGTAGCATGCTGAGATGAAGGGCTACAAAGTTTGTACAAATGAATGACCTTCACTTACTAGCTCACCTGGGCCAAAGGGCCAAGTGAGCTAATGGCATGGTGCGGCGTCCGTCCGGCGTCCGTCCGGGGTCAACTTTTTACTTTAAACAACTTCTTCTGAATAACCAAGAGGCTCAGGCTGATGATATTTATCCAGTAGCATGCTGGGATAAAGGGCTACCAAGTTTGTTCAAATGAATGACCTTTGCCCATTTTCAAGGTCACAGGGGTTAAATATGTTAAAATCTTTAAACAACTTCTTCTGAATAACCAGAAGGCCCAGGATGATGATATTTGGCCAATAACATGCTAGGATGAAGCACTACCAAGTTTGTTCAAATGAATGACCTTCACCTTTATTTAAGGTCACAAGGGGGTCAAATATGTTCAAACTTTTAAACAATTTCTCCTTAATAACCAAGAGGTCTAGGGTGTTGATATTTGGCCAATAACATGCTAGAATGAAGCACTACCAAGTTTGTTCAAATGAATGACCTTTGCCCATATTCAAGGTCACATGGGTCAAATATGTTTAAATCTTTAAACAACTTCTTCTGAATAACCAAAGGGTCTAGGGTGATGCTATTTGGCCTGTAGCATGCTGGGATGAAGGGTTACAAAGTTTGTTCAAATGAATGACCTTCATCCATATTCAAGGTCACAGGGGTCAATTTTTAGCTCACCTGGCCCGAAGGGCCAAGTGAGTTTATGGCATGGTGCAGCGTCCGTCGTCCGTCCGGCGTCCGTTCGGCGTCCGTTCGGCGTCAACTGAATTTTACCCATATTCAAGGTCAAACAGGATTTATTGTCTTGAAAAACAACTTCTTCTGAATAACCAAATTGCACAGGATGATGATATCTAGCAAGTAGCATGCTTGGATGAACAGTTACCAAGTTTGTTCAAAAGAATGACCTTGACTCATATTCAAGGCCACAGTTGTCAAATATGTTCAAAAAAACTGTTAACGACTTTTTCTGAATAACAAAAAAGCAGATGTAGAGCTATCAAGTTAATGTTCATATGAATGACCTTGACACACTTTCAAATGACCTCCTCTCAATAAACAAAAGGTTTCAACTTAATGACCTTGTTAGACTTTCAAGGGCACAGGGATCAAATGTGTTAAATCTTTGAATGACTTTGAATCAAAGATACTGATATTTTGCTCTCCATGAGAAAATCTTGTCATGATTGCATTGAAGGTGAGCAATACATGCCCTCTCTGCCTCTTGTTTGATTTTTTTACAATACTCAATTCCACTGTCCAACGAATCTGTCAATATTCCTATTTGAATTTTTTTTAAAAATCTGTTAACATAATAATCTGTTAACATAATTTTATTGTGGAAATGTTAATAAATATCTGTTCAATGCTATTAACATCAGAATTTGAATTTGTTTCAGGATCACCGCATTCCAAAAGGTTTCATGTCCAGAAGGACAAAGAGGTGGGTTAAGAAATTTGTAACTCAACTCAAAATGATGTCTACTATAAGTATATTTACTAACAACTATTACAAGTATATTTACTAACATCTATTATAAGTATATTTACTAACAACTATTAAAAGTATATTTACTAACATCTATTATAAGTATATTTTCTAACAACTATTATAAGTATATTTACTAACATATACTACAATTATATTTACTAACAACTATTACAAGTATATTTACTAACATCTATTATAAGTATATTTTCTAACAACTATTACAAGTATATTGACTAACATATACTACAATTATATTTACTAACATCTATTACAAGTATATTTACTTAACATCTATTACAGGCATATTTACTTAACATCTATTACAAGTATATATGCTAACATCTATTACAAATATATTTACTAACATCTATTACAAATATATTTACTAACATCTATTGCAAGTATATTTACTAACATCTATTGCAAGTATATTTACTTCACATAAATTACAAGTATATTTACTAACATCTACTACAAGTATATTTATTAACATCTATTACAAGTATATTTACTAGCATCTATTACAAGTATATTTACTCACATCTATTACAAAAATATTTACTTACATCTATTACAAGTATATTTACTAACATCTATTACAATTATATTTACTAAACATCTATTACAAGTATATTTACTTAACATCTATTACAAGTATATTTACTAACAACTATTACAAGTATATTTACTAACATCTATTACAATTATATTTATTAATAACTATTACAAGTATATTTACTAACATCTATTATTTACTAACATCTATTACAATTATATTTACTAACATCTATTGAAAGTATATTTACTAACAACTATTATAAGTATATTTACTAACATCTATTACAATTATATTTACTAATAACTATTTCAAGTATATTTACTAACATCTATTACAAGTACTGTATATGTACTTAACATCTATTACAATTTCAATTCAATTTTGTATAAACAGAGGGTGTGGCTTTCCTAGGGCAGAGGGTTTGGGCCAATTAGGGAGAACAAAGGGGAAAATGTTTAAAATCCCTCTTCTCCTGTATGAATGGAAGGATTTGAACCATCTTTTAGTCTAGAACATCTTTGGGTAAGGGGAATACACTTTTGTATAAACGAAAGGTGTGGCCACTCTGGGTGCAGAGGTGTGGCCACTCTGGGTGCGGAGGTGTGGCCACTCTGGGTGCGGAGGTGTGGCCACTCTGGGTGCGGAGGTGTGGCCACTCTGGGTGCGGAGGTGTGGCCACTCTGGGTGCGGAGGTGTGGCCACTCTGGGTGCGGAGGTGTGGCCACTCTGGGTGCGGAGGTGTGGCCACTCTGGGTGCGGAGGTGTGGCCACTCTGGGTGCGGAGGTGTGGCCACTCTGGGTGCGGAGGTGTGGCCACTCTGGGTGCGGAGGTGTGGCCACTCTGGGTGCGGAGGTGTGGCCACTCTGGGTGCGGAGGAGTGGCCACTCTGGGTGCGGAGGAGTGGCCACTCTGGGTGCAGAGGAGTGGCCACTCTGGGTGTGGAGGAGTGGCCACTCTGGGTGCGGAGGAGTGGGAATTTGAGGTTAATTCTTTAAAATTCTTCTCCTTCAGTTTGGTTGGAGGAATTTGTGTAGAGCATCCTTTGGTGAAGGTGACTGAATTTGGTATAAGTAGAGAATTGCTTTTAGGGGGCAGAGGGGTGGGCTGAATAGGGGAAATTGAAGTTGATGTTTAAAATCAACTCCAATTCATGGAGGAAGAAGGGAGTGACCTTATAAGGTATAGGTGTTGCTGACAGATAGAGCCAATATTTGGAAATAATTGTTATATGTAATAAGAAATTTTTTCCATGGTTGCTTAAATGGTTATCAAGGTGAGCGATACAGACCCTCTAGGCCTCTTGTTCAATGCGTCTTTTAATGAGAATATTTGTCAATGGTTGCTTAAATATCCGATGAGTGATACAGGCCCTTTGGGCCTCTTTTTTTCTTACTTGTAGTCCATCTGACCTTGAGGCTGACTTTGAAGACAACCAGGATTATGACAGTACAGTTAGCCAACCTGAGACCAATTTGACATTAATTGGAAAATCGGATTCCACAGAATCCAACCATGTACACAGTCCAATGTTGGGACATGGACGAGGCATGTTTGTGCCGTCCCACCATGTGTCTGCTGAACCTTTTATACACTTCAGCTCTCATAACACCAGTAATCCAGATTCTAAGCCCCCCACACCTTCCCCATATGCTGGACTGGGCCGCCAGAGTAGGTATGGAATTGCCACGAATGCAGCACGGTGCCGGAAAACAGAACTAAATAGCACAGATACTAAGGACTTGCCTGTGATAAGGCCTTTGACATCCGTGATAAATCGCTATCAGGAACGAAAATCGGACAGTGACAATAACGGTTTCAGTGGATACCGGCACCATGACCCAGAACACCTGCCAGGGTCAGTGATGAGCCACAGACCCTTCCTTAATCAGTCTCTAAAGGAGGATGAAAAGATTAAGCTAGAGCAGGTGGGTATATGGTAGTTAGTTGTAGTCCGTGTCCATCAGACCATACCTACAGTGATACATTATATGTGTATTATGACTAGAAAGTGTTATATTACCACAGGTCATCACACCCAGACCACTGTTGAACTAATAAAGTGTCTTCACATCTTGAGCAATTTTTTAGGACTGATGAGCTTTTGTTAATGTGCTATGGTGCAATGTCTGTTGTCCTTAAAACATTTCACGTCTGTCATCCGTCAGTCAACTTTTTCTTCTGAACGACCTCTTCTGAAGAACTGTAGGACCTAGGGTCATGCTATTTGTCCAGTAGGTACCTGGGATGGAGTGCTATAAAGTTTCCTCATTAAAACGACCTTGACCTACTTTCAATATATTAAGAACCATTTGAACTAGAGTCAGGATAGCTGGGTATGTTATGTAGACCAGCAGTGCGAATATTTTTCTTTAGAACAGTAATGAGGTCAAAGGTCAACTTTAAATGCTAGTCGGGGGTCAAATGTCAACTTTGGTTAAAGCTTTAACAATCTCCTTCTCAAGTTCCATAAGGCCCAGGGTCATGATATTTGGCCAGTAGGTGCCTGGGATCTAGTGCTATAAAGTTTCCTCATTAAAATGTCCTTGACCTACTTTTAAGGTCACAGGGTACAAATATGTTAAAAACTTCAAACAACAATATATTAAGAACCATTTGAACTAGAGTCATGATACTTGGGTATGTTATGTAGAACAGCAGTTCAAATATTTTTCTCATTAACAGTTATGAGGTCAAAGGTCAACTTTAAGTGCAAGTCTGGGTCAAAGGTCAACATGGGTCGAAGGCTTTAGCAATCTTCTCAAATTCCATAAGGCTCAGGGTCATGATATTTGGCCAGTAGGTACCTGGGATGGAGTGCTATAAAGTTGTTTCCTTATTAAAATGACCTTGACCTACTTTAAAGGTCACAGGGGTACAAATATGTTAAAAACTTCAAACAACAATATCCTAAGAACCATTTGGACTAGAGTCATGATACTTTGGTATGTTATGTAGACCAGCTGTGTGAATTGTTTTCTTTATTACAGTAATGAGGTCAAAAGTCAACTTTAAGAGCAAGTCGGAAGTCAAAGCTCAAAATGAATAACCATAAGACACAGGATAATGATATTTGGCCAGTAACATGCTGGGGTAAAGGGCTACTATGTCTGTTCAAATGAATGACCTTGACTTATATTCAAGGTTACCAGGATCAAATATGTTTGAAACCTTGAAACTACTTCTTCTGAATAACCAAAAGGTGCAGGATGATGATATTCGGCCGGTAACATGATTGGATAAAGGGCTATAAACTTTGTTAAAATGAATGATCTTGACCTATATTTAAGGTCACAGGGGTCAAATATGTTCAAAATCTTAAACACCTTCTTCTGAATAACCATGAGGCCCAGGATGTTTGGCCAGCATGCCAATCTCAATAAAGAAAAGGTCAAGGGTAGTGATATATTTGGCAAGTTGCATCCCAAGATGAAGGGCTGTAAAGTTTGTTCATTGTAATGACCTTGTTTCACTTTCAAGGTCACAGGGGTCAAATTTATTAACATCTTTTAACAGGTTCTTTTAAATGATAATTATAGTCATAACTACTGATATTTTGCCTATAGCTTTACTTTAGATCACTTTTAAGGTTACAAGTGTGAAATTTATACCAGGTGAGCGATGCAGGCCCATTGGGCCTCTTGTTTCAAAAAATCCTGCAACTGGTCCTTTGGTCTATGGCATTCTTTGGCAAAAAAGTCTCAATGTTGTTTAAATAGAAGATGAAAATCTCATTGCCCTAGACATTTGATTAGTTAGGGTTGTACCCACATATTTTTAAAACCATCCCACCATTATCAGATGGTGGGAAGGTGGGCTATTCTAATTAACATTCCATCTGTCCGTCCTTCCTTAAACAATTCTTGTTAGCATTATTTCTCAGAAAGAACTAAGGAATCTTTCTCAAATCTCACATGGTCTGTAGTAACGAATATGGAACTTGGAGACTGATCAGAAAACTAAGATGGCCGACAGGCAGTCATCTTGAATTTGAAAGTTAAAGTTTGCTAGAGCTATTTCTCAGAAAGGACTGGAGGGATCTTTCTCAAATTGCATATGATGGTTCCCTATGGTCCCTAGTGACACATGAAACATTTTTTGGCTGATTGAAAAACTAAGATGGCTGGTGGCCATATCGCATTTGGGAGTAAAATATATGTTATCGCTCTTTCTCAGAATGCACTTTAGGGGTCTTTCTCATATTTGATATGTAGGTTCCCCCTGGTCCTTAGTTGTGCATATTAACTTTTGAGACTGATCAGAAGAACAAGATGGCTGCCAGGCTAACTGATCAAACAGATAAAGAGAAAAGAAGACAAAAGATTGAACTGACATAGAACTACCGAAGATGGTACGATGGTGGGTGCCAAGATACCATAGTTCAAGTTTGTGAGCACTATATTGTAGAAGAGAACTAGCGTGATCTCACAGGAAAGTTCCCCATCGTCCCTAGTTACGCATATCATATTTTGGTACTGATAAAAAAACCAAGATGGCTGAAAAATGGCTATCTTGGATTTTGACAGCTCCAGTTTATTATCAGTATTTTTCAAGTAGTACTTTACACATCTTTCTCAAACTTCAGACAGCAACTTCGCTTTGAAAGAACAATGTCATACAAAGCAGTAAGAAAGTTTACGCAAAGTGCGTTTACTGTTTACATGACTCGATCCAACATATGAAAGTAAAGAAGAGGAAAGATCTATCTTACATAAGAACCCATGGAGATGGTATGGTATGATGGTTGGCACCCTCTTGGTACAATGGTGGGTGCGCTATGCCCTCTTGGTGCAATGTTCTCCAACAGTGTTAGAGGTTTACACGACGAGTTTCTTTCTAACCTCTTAACTGCCCATAGCTGATTAGCCCAATGTTAATGATTACATTTTCAAAGTTTGGATTTAGAAAAAGTATATCGTGTTTACATACATTTAAATGTTCAACAGGGTCCAATAAATATTACTTTCCATAAATTCATGATTAAATGAGAAGAATTTCATGTCAAAGACATAAATAATGAGTTTTTCCTCTTTTCGAAGTGAAGCACAAAACATTTGCCATGATTTTCCGGTTAATACAAAAATGGATTACATGTAATGTTCTACAAGCGTATATACAAACAAACTACATTTCAATTTGTTCCGTTTGCAATCCCCCCTGCTATTTTGTATCAACCAAAGAAGCCATATTGTAAAAGTAGGTCAAAGAAGTGCTACAACAACATGGACATGTATTTTGTGTGTTCGGTAATATGATATATATTTGTGTATGCAGCATACATATGAGATCTAAGTTATATGCGCAGTGAGTAAACATAGTGGTCATGAACTGTGAACCAATTAATTGAGTTTTTCAAGCTGATTTTGTTCCACCGAGATTTCGGACAGAATCTGCATTGAAGAATTAGTGATTCGGAAATAAGAGGTAGCAGCCGGCAAAATCATATCCGATAGAAAAAAGGCTGACCAGCAGCCTCTTATGTCATAGGAGTAGGTGCGGTGCGATTTGGTGGGCCTTGGATCTCTTGTTCAGATAGTGTTGATGTCTGCTATTTACATATAACTTGATTTTACAGTTGTTGGAAAAAGAAAAAGAAGAAAACAGGAAGTTGAAGGAGATGTTGGAATCAAAAGATAAGAAAATTGCTGAACTGGAAAAGGAAGTATCTTCATTAAACAAGGTTGTTATGACTTTGGCATTATTGTAAGGTCAATGTTTGTCATGTGCTTGTACTAGGGCAGAAATACCTAAATTACTTTAAGAAATATTCTTGTATTCAGATGAATTACACTTACATATCTAACATCTAACACCTGAATCTAAATTGAAATATTTTTTTATAAACAAGGATGTCTGATGTCTTAGTTTTTAGTTCATCTGGCCCAAGGGCGAACTGAGCTTATGCCGTGGTGTAACATCCTGGGATCTTCTGATGTTAACATTTTCTTTTAAACCACTATATTCTTCTCCATAGGCACAGAGTGATGATATTTGGCCAGTAACATGATTAGATAGAAGGCTGTTTCGTTCAAATGAGTTACCTTGACCTGATAGCAAGGCCAAATTGATAACTTTGTTAAAACGTTCAATTGACTTAAGAATGATGAAAGAGGCCTGCCAAAGTTCATGATTTTTAGCTCACCTTCCCGAAAGGGATTCAGTTTTGTATAAAGTGATGAGGGTGTGGTAAATAAAACAACTTATTAAAAGAAAAACTAAGGGCCATATCTACCACATCTACGTGACAAGGACAACCCCTCCTCCCCCTTAAATTTAATAAGTAATGGGCGGGTCTGTCTTGAACGTTCTTTGAAAATGAAACAAATCATTTTGAAAAATTCTGGGGAGAACCCTGGATGTGTGTATATTGTTATGCCCTGTGGTACTCGTGTTAGTATGTCAGATTGGTAGTGAACGGGTGTATATTGTTCCTACCTATGGTACTCATGTTAGTATGTCAGATTGGTAGTGAACGGGTGTATATTGTTCCTACCTATGGTACTCATGTTAGTATGTCAGATTGGTAGTGAACGGGTGTATATTGTTCCTACCTATGGTACTCATGTTAGTATGTCAGATTGGTAGTGAACGGGTGTATATTGTTCCTACCTATGGTACTCATGTTAGTATGTCAGATTGGTAGTGAACGGGTGTATATTGTTCCTACCTATGGTACTCATGTTAGTATGTCAGATTGGTAGTGAACGGGTGTATATTGTTCCTACCTATGGTACTCATGTTAGTATGTCAGATTGGTAGTGAACGGGTGTGTATTGTTTTTACCCATGGCTCTTGATGGAGGAGGTATATAAGGTTAAATAAAACAAATCAGAGCTAACAAATGAGTATTGCACCGGTATTTACATTTCTGTTAGCCCAGCAAATATGGAGGTGGAAGGAAACAAGACTCACATCAGAGTACATGTAAAATGTATATTTTGCTTCCTTGCGATTCTTTTTGAAGTCCACATATCAAACGTCAAGCTCAGCTATATGGGCAGATTGCTTCTTGATGATTATGGGTGATATATTGCCACAAGACGGGGCCCTTACTGACTTGTCAGTGTTCTAGTTTCTTTTTCATTTGGCAACATCGATAACATCAGTTTTTACATAAATCAGGTGACCGTTAAGGCCCATAGGCCTCTTGTTTGAGGTTTCTTTTACCATTCCTTTTATGTTCACAAAAACAATCCAGACAAATTATTGCTAATAACAAACTGAAAGGACTTCATTTACTCCATATAAATGAAACTTAGAGTTGCCACCAATCCTAACATTTATAAAATCAATCTGTAAGCCTCCTATAAAATCAACCTGTAAGCCTTCTCAACCTGTAAGCCTCCTATAAAATCAACCTGTAAGCCTTCTATAAAATTCCATATTCTGTTGTTCAGGAAATGACATTGTTTGGATGAGTTGAGAAATATGTCTTCAGCATTTTGATGTATTGTTTGGCATGGAATGGATACAAATGTATCACCCTACCGACTGATCTAGAGAGAATTCCCCTGAAGCTCATTTAGTAAACATAAGAGAGGTAGAATCAGAGGTTCTGGGTTCAAACCTTAGTACGAAACATAAAAAAATGGCCTTCATCATTCCTGAAATTTGTTTTTTAGACGGGTATAATGGAAACTCATCCAATCTTACGCTCAAAAATTTCAATCGAAAAAATATTCTGGCATGCTATTACAGATTATTTATTTTTTTATTGTTTCCAGCATATGAAAAGAGTGAAACATTTATTGTTGTTTGTAAGAAAAGCTTTAACTACTGAGCAAAGCATTTGCAACACCTCCATATATTTGAAAAAGTAATTATCAAAGGTTCTTTACATTAAAACATTATTTTATTTAAATTTCAGGATCTTGAAGACTTTGATGACGAGAACCAGAAATTGGTGTTGGAAAATAACTCACTGATCCGGGCAGTGTCAAATCTCAGTATCACAAGTACACCTGTGTAGGACAGCAATACCCCTGTCTATCCCTAACAACCACTGTGTCACACGTACACCTGTGTAGGACAGCCTTACCCCTGTCTATCCCTAACAATCTCAGTATAACACATTCACCTGTGTAGGACAGCCATACCACTGTCTATCCCTAATAGCCTCAGTATCACACGTACACTTGTGTCAGACAGCCAAACCCCTGTCTATCCCTAACAACCTCAGTATCACGCGTACACCTGTGTAGGACAGCCATACCACTGTCTATCCCTAACAACCACTGTGTCACACGTACACCTGTGTAGGACAGCCTTACCACTGTCTATCCCTAATAACCTCAGTATCACACGTATACCTGTGTAGGACAGCAATACCCCTGTCTATCCCTAACAACCTCAGTATGACACGTACACCTGTGTAGGACAGCCTTACCACTCTCTATCCCTAACAACCTCAGTATCACACATACACCTGTTTAGGACAGTCTTACCACTGTCTATCCCTAACAACCTCAGTATCACACGTACACCTGTGTCAGACAGCCAAACCCCTGTCTATCCCTAACAACCTCAGTATCACACGTATACCTGTGTAGGACAGCCTTCCCACTGTCTATCCCTAACAACCTCAGTATCACACGTACACCTGTGTAAGACAGCCAAACCCCTGTCTATCCCTAACAACCTCAGTATCACACGTACATCTGTGTAGGACAGCCTTACCCCTGTCTATCCTTAACAACCTCAGTATCACATGTACACCTGTGTAGGACAGCCTTACCACTGTCTATCCCTAACAGCCTCAGTATCACACGTAAATCTGTGTAGGACAGCCTTCCCCCTGTCTATCCTTAACAACCCCAGTATCACACGTACATGTGTGTTGGTCAGCCTTACCACTGTCTATACCTAACAACCTCAGTATCACTCTTACTCTCCTATTGATGATTGAGAGGAGGTGGATGTTCATATTGCAAGGGTACTAATTACCGTCAAAGATTTGAAAATGTCTACCTTCCTCAAGTAAAGCAAACTCAAACAGAATCTTACTGTTGAGTTCATGGACATTTTTTGACATTTTTGTGTAGTTTAAATAGATTTCAATTAACTGTGTATTTGTAAGGAGCAGTTCAGGTTTTCTGTTATGTTAATTGATTAAGAAAATTGTTAAAGATCTGTTAATGTATATGTACTGTTAATGTATATGTACTGTTAATGTTTGTGTACTGTTAATATATATGTACTGTTAATGTATGTATACTGTTAATGTTTGTGTATGTTAATGTATGTGTACTGTTAATGTTTACCACTGTCTATATACGTATACTGTTAATGTATATGTACTGTTAATGTATATGTACTGTTAATGTATGTATACTGTTAATGTATATGTATGTTAATGTATGTGTAATGTTAATGTATATGTATGTTAATGTTTGTATACTGTTAATGTATATGTACTGTTAATGTATATGGACTGTTAATGTTTGTGTACTGTTAATGTATATGTACCGTTAATGTACGTATACTGTTAATGTACATCTATGTTAATGTATGTATACTGTTAGTGTATATGTATGTTAATGTTTGTATAGTGTATGTTAATGTATATGTACTGGTAATGTATGTGTATGTTAATGTATGTAGACTGTTAATGTATGTGTATCTTAATGTATATGTACTGTTAATATGTATGTATACTGTTAATGTATATGTACTGTTAATGTATATGTATGTTGAGATATGTGTACTGTTAATGTATGTGTATGTTAATGTATGTATACTGTTAATGTATGTGTATGTTAATGTATATGTACTGTTAATGTATATGTACTGTTAATGTATATGTATGTTAATATATATGTACTGTTAATGTATATGTATGTTAATGTATATGTATGTGTACTGTTAATGTTTGTGTACTGTTAATGTATATGTATGTTAATGTTTGTATAGTGTATGCTAATGTATATGTACTGTTAATTTACGTATACTGTTAATGTATGTGTATCTTAATGTATATGTACTGTTAATGCATATGTACTGTTAATGTATATGGATGTTGAGATATGTGTACTGATAATGTATGTGTATGTTATTGTATGTGTATGTTAATGTATGTAGACTGTTAATGTATGTGTATCTTAATGTATATGTACTGTTAATGTTTGTGTACTGTTAATGTATATGTAGTGTTAATGTATGTGTACTGTTAATGTATGTGTATGTTAATGTATGTGTATGTTAATGTATATGTACTGTTAATGTTTGTGTACTGTTAATGTATATGTACTGTTAATGTTTGTGTACTGTTAATGTATATGTACTGTTAATGTTTGTGTACTGTTAATGTATATGTACTGTTAATGTATATGTACTGTTAATGTATGTGTATGTTAATGTATATGTATGTTAATGTATGTGTACTGTTAATGTATGTGTACTGTTAATGTATGTGTACTGTTAATGTGTATGTCATTGCTTGTGCAAATGATAAAAATACACAACTTGTTCACCAAATATTTCTAATGTTGTCTTACATCACAGTGACTGGATTTGGTGTAAAAAAAAAAAAGAGAGATGCTTTGTTGTATTGTTGATGTAATAGACTAATAAACTGGCATCAATAAATCATATTTGCTGTTTGTCGAAGTTACAAATGAGAAACTTGTGTTATGTGTTCTGCCACAACAGTGGGACAATAACAATAATCCCATCCAACATTTCCATCAACTGCCATAGAGTGCAATGGAAAATATTTCCACAACGAAATTGGAATTTCATGGAAAGATAATCCATTGTTTTACTTGGATTGCCATGTGGTGTCGCAGAAAACCACAATGTCAGGATTAGCGGTAAAAGTATACACATTTCCCGCTGTATATACAGTTACAAAGTGTATGATATCTACCAATCTACTGAGAAACTTAAAATGTTAGCTGCATTTTTATGCTCAATGACTAACAAGTAATCTTCAATACACTTAAGTAATGTACAACCAACTGTAAAAGTTATCATTTTAGCGGACTTAAATTTTACCGTTCATGTACCGGTGAAACTGGAGGGGACTATATAGTTTTCCTATTTCATAGGTCTGTGTACAACAGTACGTACGTACCTACATAACACCAATGTTTGTCAGCGCTCTAGCGGCTTCATTCCTTGAAGGATTTTGATCAAACTTCACACAAATACAAAGGACCATAATATCTCCGAAATTTCGAATTTCAGTGTTGTTAGGTCAAGGTCAAGTCACCGTTACTATTTTTAGAAAATCCTTGTTTGCGCTCTAGCGTCTTCATTCCTTGCGGGATTTTGATCAAACTTCATACTATTACAAAGGACAATAATATCTCTGACAAGTTCGAATTTGATGGTTGTTAGGTCAAGGTCACTGTTACTATTTTTAGAAAATCCTTGTCAGCGCTCTAACGGCTTTATTCCTTGAGTGATTTTGATCAAACTTCATACAATTACAAAGGACCATAATATCTCGGACAAATTTGAGTTTCATGGTTGTTTGGTCAAGGTCAAGGTCACTGTTACTATTTTAGAAAATCGTTGTCAGCGCTCTAGCGGCTTCATTCCTTGAGGGATTTTGATCAAAACTTCAAACAATTACAAAGGACCATAATATCTCTGACAAGTTCGAGTTTCATGGTCGTCGGGTCAAGTTCACCCATACTATTTTGAGATAATCCTTGTCAACGCTCTTACAGCTTCATTCCTTCAGGGATTCGGATCAAACGTTACACCGATACAAAGGACCATATTATCTCTGACAAGTTATTCCAGGGTTGTTAGGTTAAGGTCAAAATCACAGTTACTTTTTTCAGAAAATCCTTGTCAGCGCTCTAGCAGCTTCATTCCTTGAGGGATTCGATCAAACTTCAAACAATTACAAAGAACCATAATATCTATGACAAGTTCGAGTTTCAGGGTTGTCGGGTCAAGGTTAAGGTCACCGTTACTATTTTTAGAAAATCCTTGTCAGCGCTTCATTCCTTGAGGGTTTTGATCAAACTTGATACAATTACAAAGGAGCATTATATCTTGGGACATTAAAATCAGATACAAGCTAATTGTATACTTTTCATTTTCTTAAATTAACACCAAAGGGCACAATTTTTATAAATAATTACAGTGAAATAGCTAGCGGGGGCCGGTAGGGGACATGTATTGTTTTAGCAATATTCAGTATGCTTGTTGAATTTTAACAAATTCACGCATTCAAAATATATGCAGTAGAAAACTATATACAGGAACTTCTATGAGCGCAGTCATAATTGAGCGCAAGATTTAAGGCAGAAAAAAACGAAAGAATTAAAATACCACCAAAATATGTACGCTTACAGTATATAAAGGGTTTCGCAACATAAAACTCTGTATAAAACTGTCAGATTATATTACGCTTGGAACAATATCTGCAGATATTTTTTAAAAAAATCCAATTTATCTGTGAGTAGAAGAGGAGTTGAGTGCTATTTTTTGTCATTTGTTAATTTTTAGCTCACCTGGCACGAAGTGCCAAGTGAGCTTATGCCGTGGCGCGGCG